ATCCCTTCTAATTTTTCATAACTAGTCCAAACAAGTTTTGTCTACTAATTTGATTTATTGGCTAGACAATGCTGACATTGAACTTTGTGCATGTTTGAAATAAATTAATATGTTGTAGACCTTTAAGTATTTAGCTGCATCCTCATCAAATAGTATTTTGACTGATCTAAAACTTTGCCTTACTGTCTCCTTTGTAAAATATGATTCTTTTGTAGAATAACCACTTGCCATCACTTTTAAGGAAAAATTACAAGAGCTGTGTCACATGAATGACTCCTATTCTCTGTCATGGTAGATATTAAGGGCCTAATGCAGCTAGCATGGACATTGTTGGAAAGACTCCCATTGATGTCACTGGAAGTTGTGTTTGAGCCTTAAAATTCGGTATTAAAAAAATTAAAATACATAGCTTTTGAATAGAGGTTTTTTCCAATGATCTCCAAGTACATTGCAAAGAAAGAAAATTAGCAGTTGATACTTATAACTTTTGTACAAAAAATTAATGGGGCCTAGATTTCAGCCTTAAAGTCAGAATTTTGCTGTTGACTTCATTGGAGCCAGGATTTCACACTAAAAGTACTTGTTAACTGAATAAAAGTAATTCCGTAAGTCTGGTACCTTACAAGAGAATAAGGCAAAGTTTTAGACCTCTCAAACCAACACTTCAAGAGCATACAGCAAAATAAAAGCTTACAAAACTAAAGGCCATTATAAATTTAAAAACTTAGATTTATTTTAAGAAAGTGGATTGGAAACATGAGAAATTAGATTCTTATGATTCACATAATTCAGGAAATCTAGAATAAAGAGAAGACAGTTTTGTACTAGATACCTTTTACAGGACTTATTTATTGTTCAGCCCCTATTACTAGGCTTTTTATGGGGTCAGTGTGACTTCCAGATAACTCTCAGTGATGTCAGTGCGAGTTTATGCGTACGCAAGGATAGAATTGGGCTTCTTGCTAAGGAAGAAAATGTTTTTAAATTTAAATTTCTTTATATAGCAGTAGATACAAAACTTAAGCATGTTAATTTAAAGCAGAAGTTAAACTTTTTCTAGAAGAAAATTACTGATTGAAATACATATTTGGATAAATGTTTAACCATATTGAAATTAAACAACATTAATATTCGGTAATAAAAAATGCCAGTGTGTTTTGAAATTGTGTCCTCACAAGGCATGAAATACCACAGTGATGGGCATGGTATAAGAACCTGAATAGTATGTATAAAACTAGTGAGGTTGTGTATAGTTCTGATTGGTGCTAAGGGGGTGCTTCAGCAAAGTACTCAATGCAGACCACCCATGCCACTACAACTACAGTCCAGCATCACTTTAAGCAACTTGAGTTATACCTTTGTTTCTATAAGAAACAAACAATACCACACAGAGAATCATGATTTCTATTGGGACCCTTTATTAGTGTTAGGTTAGGAAACGTTCTCCTTTTCAGAAGGAATGAGGAGTGGGTCAATGGAGTAGACAAGATACTTACTATAGCAGGAGCCATATATATGGTGTGCCATGTGTGACCAGGTTTTGTGCATAGAGGTCTTTGGGAGTATAATGGTCTGCTTCCTACTCCACCTTCCGGAGGAGACAGGATCATGGGATGAGCCAGGTAGTGGATGGGGGGAATGAGTCTAGTGGTAGCTTACTCCCCACCCTCTCCCCCCCGCCTACCCCCAGCCCTTAGACACACTAGGAACCATATTTCCTGATTTCTGCAGACTGTTCTTGTTTCCGTTTGCTATCAAGGATGGCTTCGTTTTGTTTTTGACTTATGGGAATTGAAATATCCAAACTTTTGCTCTAATTGCTAATTTAATGTTCAAGGTATAAAGATTGAAATACTGTGGTGACAAGTATGGTATTAAAACCTAGAGACAGAAAGATGAATGGCAAAACTACTACTTTTTTTTTTTGAAGGGCTACTTTTCATAAAACGCGGATCAAGGAATACAAATACAAGAAACAATCCATAGACAAGTCATGATATACTGCATAAATAGCTCTAATGTAAGGCCCCAGTTATGCTGTCAAACCTGTAGAGCCAACAAGTGGGCATGAACTTGAGCAAAGGAAGGCAGATTGCTAAAATTATATAAACTGTTGTTTTGTACAGAATACTTTTGAAGGGAATCAACTATGGATGGTCACAACAGGACCTGCTAGTACCTGGTTGTTGGTTTGTTTTTGTTTGTTTG